GAATCTAGTCCCCCAACCATCACAAAACCTGCTGACCCTATAGAATATAATTTTAAAATTTTTATAATTTCACCGGGGCCAGCAGGTGGTATAATGTTTAAGGAAGCTGAATTACCACATGGCCACCATGGTCTAAGTACTAGACCTGGTGGCTTGAAAACCACGCTGGGCACCTGTGCATGCATGGCCAAGCTCCTGAGAGGATAGTGGAGGAGGAAGAATTTCAGTGTGGCTATCTCTCCTGTAGGGTGATTTCTCATTTTCCCTCTCTTTGTATCTCTCTGTCTCTCTCTCTGATGCATGCACATTTCCTATGGTAAAAACCTAAAGGAAAATAATTAAAATATAAAAGATTGCCATTTTAAAATGTTTCTGGTTATCATACTTTATACTTTTGAGTAAGTTGCTAAGATTTTACTCCAAAATTTCTGTCTCATTTGAAATAATCTGTTCTCAGACTTTGAATCTTAAAGCAATCCAATATATGCTTCTTTTAAAACCATAGCTTTCCTCTATCTTTGAAAATACTGTAGAAGACAACTGACCTGCAATTTCAGAGGAAAGCAAATAACAGCAATTGGAACACTTACCATGGGAAATGCACTACATAAGACTGAATGTGTTTAGGACAAATGTGGTGGATAGAGTATCAACTGCTGTGACTGAGAGAACCCGGTGTCTCTTCATAGGAACTGAAACGGGGAATGAGAAACACATTGTAAATGTGCCAAAGCGGAGAGGATAGTTAAATAAGTGGTAGTGTATCTACCTCTGAAAAGCCTATGTAGCTATTAACAATATTTTAAAGCAATATATGTATTACCTTGGGAAATACTCATCATGTGTCAGGTAGAACGAGCAGTCAATAAAAACATTACTGAAGCATTTTCATTCCATAAAACAGCTACAAGCTGAGTTTGCTCTTTCATGGCGGCTAAGCCTGGGAAACACACTAACACTTTCTCTCACAAAGCAATGATAATCTGAGCAATGCCATCATGGGTAACATTAACGTATGAATGTGCTTCTGTAGTTTTCAAAATTCCTATAGTGAGCATGATAAGTGGGACTTAGCAGCATTAGTGATATCCAGGATAAAGAAGTGTTGAAGTACCATGAAATAAAACTTCGTAAAACACTGTGTCTGTCTAAGCAACATCCACACTTAGTAAGACAAGACATAGATACTGTCATTTAGTGAGCACTTGATGGGACCCAGATATTGTGAAAAGCACCTTATACACACGATTTTCTTAATCTTTATCACAACCTTATGAAGTAGAAACGATTATTCTTCTCACTTACAGATGAGGAAACTGAAGTTAGAAAGCAATTACGACTTGCCCCAAAGTCAAGCCATTAGTAATAGGTACAGCTGAGATTTTCCTCATTTGTGTCTAATTTCTCACTTTATGATTTTAATAACAGCACTGTAATTAATTTATACCCACACTTCATATTTAATTTTGCATACAGAGATTGAGGCCACAAAACTAGCTTTGATCATAGTGATACATAGACTTACATACATGCTCATACATGCCAATGGAATGTAAAGATTTGGGATGAAGGGAAGGATATTGAAAATATAAATAACTAGTTTGAGATGAAAGAATACGTTATTGACTTTTGTGTGGAAGATAGAGACTATAGCTCTCTGGGTTGAACCAATGATGATAAAGGGTACAGAGTTTCCAAAGTCACCAAACTTGTCCTGAGATAAAATTATTACTAACTGGCGTATGCTCACAAAACCTAGGGCCATATGCCATTGTCCCCTCTGCCAGCACAGCCACTGCCTTGCTCTTTGTGTCTTATATCCAAATCCTGAAGGCTATTCTATTCCTAGATCATTAGAGATAAAAATGAACTGGAAACAAAATGGAGATTTATAGTTAACAGCCTCAGTGCTTTCTTTGGCAAAGAACTGAGAAACCATAATGATTTTATGTTTTATAATGCTCATTAGTTTCTAGAGCCAAGAGTTATCTCCTAGAAGAGGGTGAAATGGCCTTTGCAATGTAGCTGCCTGCCTTCCCTCCACTAGAAATGCCTCACTGTGTCAACTGAAATTTAGAAGAAGTAACTAATCACGGTACAGCTTTCTCGACCTTAGCGCCATCAACATTTTGGGCTGGATAATTCTGTTTCGGTGAAGGGAGGTTGCCCTATTCACTGTAGGTTTTATATCATTGGCCTTTACCCACTAGATGCCAGTAGACACCCTCTAGTTGTGACAAATGCCTAGGCCCAAGATATTTCCAGATATTACCAAACGATGCCTTGGGGAATTTATCCCAATTGAGAATCGTGGACCACTATGAATTCCTAAACTTGGTTTTTAAAATATCTTTTTAAAGATAGCTTGAATTTCACATGGTACAGAACGGGCAACTGAGCATGTCACAGGAGCTTGCCACTCTGGCTATGGCTGACTGGGCCAAGTTGACATGTTGATCTACGTTGGGCCAATCATGGTTTATCTTCACAGAAAATATAGTTAAGACACAGGAAGTATAAGCCAAGTATATTTGTCCACAGAAGCTATACTATCATAAAAAATTCAAATTAAAAATAAAGTACAATAAAATAAATGGGGGTGACTTTATGGCACAGAGGTAATAAGCTACTTGGGAGAAGCAGGATATCTAATAGTGACCAGGTCAGGCTGAAACACACCAGGTACAGGCTTATGTATCCTAGATTCTATGGGCAAGAGGACTGGAAGAATGGGTTGACCAGACTCTATGGAGGATACCCATCTCTCTCCCTCCCCCACCACTCTGTCATGTGTCCATGCTCTATCATGAAGTACCAAAATAAATAAATAAATACATTTTTAAAAAAGCAGCAGCAGCAGCAGCAGCAGCTACACTATCATATTAAGTGTGATCAAAGTTAGTACTATGAAAATAAAAACTTTGTATCAGTTCCTAATTTATTAGGGAGTAAAAATGAAAACCCTTGAAGAAGGAACCAGTCCATGTAGAAGACTGACGTAAAAAGAGGTTAGAAATAGCATGTCCCATGAACAAAGAAAACGTGTCAGTTGCTTGATGAATTTACAAATCTCACGAGGTTTAGCTAAATTTCCTATAATTAGTTCTGCAGGATTCCTGTATTTACTTAAATTCCCCTCGACTTGGATTAACTTGAGATTGCTTCTTTTTTTTTAACCACTTACTGATTCATAATGAAAATACCTAACATGAATATTCAAGGAGTCCTTTCTCATCTCTATCTAGAGGAAGAACAATGGACTGTAAGTCAAGACATTTGGATTCCAAATCCTGCACTAGGATCCTGAGTAAGTGACTCATTTCGCTGAGTTCTGATTTCTTTAACTGAAGAATTTGAAGATGAACTTGCACCCAGGTGTAAATTATGAAAGATAAAAAAATGGGGACAGAGATTTTATTCCCTTTGAACCTTGGACTCAGTGTTTGACAATAGCATAGAAAATTGTCTTAAAGGTGGAGGTCAACAGGGCTAACTGGTATAATCAATAGAACATTGTAGGTAAAGAAAGACAACTTCTGAGGCCATTCATAAGGGACAAGTAGTTTCTTTTGTGTTCTTGGATTACTCACCAGTCACCATGTTGTGAGAATACCAAGCCCTTTGGAAAAGTCCACATGTCAGGAAACTGAGGCCACCTGACAAAAGCCGTGTGAGTGATTCATCTTAAAGCCTTTCTCTAGCACAAAACAGTTAGTTTTTTTTGTTTTGTTTTTTTTTTTTTCATTATAATCACTTATGAGACCCTGAACTGGAATCTTTCAGCTAAGTTGAATTCTTAGTCCATGGAATGGTGAGATGTTTGCTGTTTTGTTATGTGTGTATGTATTTTAAGAAAAATATTTTCTATACGGTTTGTGCAATTGCCAGAGAGACAGAGCGACAAAAAGTTAGAAGTTACTCCCCAGGGGGAATGGCCATATCACAATACCTTCTCTTCCATTCTCCTCCTGGAATTTTGAGAACACACACACACACGGGCTCAGCTTGTTTTAAGTTACCAGGCTCAGGACTCGAACTGCCGTTGACTATGTGGGAGTACAGTAACATAACCATTATACCATCAGCTGATCCCAATGTTTGCTGTTTTTAAGTTGTTACATTTTGGGGTAATTTCTACATAGCAATAAAGAACAAATATACTGCTTTATGAGATTGTTGGAAGGAATAAGTAAAATAATGCATGAGAAGTGTTTAGCAGAATGCTCGATACATGGTGAGCATGCAGAGAAATTCTATTTGTTTATGAATTTATCTAAAGCACCTACAATGGCATTTGGTGTCACTACCTTTACTATTATTACCATCATCATTTCTAAATAGTTTTGATTCACAATTATTTTCTAAATGAGCTGAAATCTCAAATTTATGGACCTGAGAAAATTCCTTTAGCATACTCCTCTCTAAAACTATGTCAAAAGGGAGTTTCCTGAAACCCCCTAGTTAGATATCCTAGCCTCTTTTGTGCTGCTATAATAGAATACATGAGACTGGGTGATGCATAATGAACAGAAACTTATTAATTCACAGTTTTGGAGACTGGAAAGTCCAAGATCAAAGTATTGGCATCTGGAGACGGCTTTCTTGCTATGTCATCACATGATGGAAGGGCCAGGGGGCCACAGGGGGCCAAATTCACCCTTTATAGAGCCATAATGCTACCCATAAGGGGGCAGCCCTCGTGGTCCAGTCATCTCCCTGAGGTCCTAACATGGTCCAGTCATCTCCCTGAGGTCCTAACATTGCCACAATGGAACCAGATTTCAACATGGGTTTTAGTGGGTAGAAGCATTCCAACCGAACACCAAAGAGACAGGAATTCAAATTTTTTACTGAGGGCTGTTATCTGTATGACTTTCTAGCACTTTGAATGTTCCTTGTTCATTATCCTGAACTATATTTAGATGAAAGGAAAAACTGCATGATGTATAGTGGACACCTAGAAGAACACTTAAAGAGAAAGAAAATTATCAGCTACTTACCGTCGACACAGGAAGGTCGGTTTCTTGTCGTTCCAGCCACTTTCCCAGGTAGGCAGGAACATTTTACTGTTTGTGACCGTTCCTCAATGCGATTCTTGTTACAACATCTGTGTGCTGCTATCACTTCACATGTCCCTCCTTCTGGCAAAAGAAGAACAGGGACACTGATGAGAAGGAACTCAGTGGCCATTCAGGCTGATGGAATATGGTAGAGGGGTTGGGGAAAGGGATTGACATGCTAGAACTAGCTTCCATGAAGTATAAGTACTAAGGGGTTCTCTTTCATGATATATTATCTTGGAGAAGACAAACATTATGGTACCATATGGGAACTCCTCACTTAATGACCAAATTATGTTTCTAAAACTAGATCATTAAATTAATTGGTTGATAAGCGAGGAGCTTAAAGGCAAAGTCTTATGGTGTGTTGTGGCACCACAGGGTATGCATTTTTCAGTAGATGTCATATACACCATACTAGAATAATATCATTCTATCCATATCAAAAACACACATTTGATAAACACTAGAAAATAATAAAACGCACAGCACAATAATATGTTGGGTCGTTGAAAAAGTCCTGAGATATTTTTCTGTTTTTCTATGCAAACGTGCATCATGACTTTTCTGATGACCCAGTACATCAGTGTAATGATTTTTCTTCTGAATACTACTAGGGGTAGGCAATAAAGTATAAATGTACAAGTGAAATGTGTAGCCTTGCACGACTGTGAACACTTCGTAGTGAATACTAACCAAGCAGGATGAGACAAAAACTTAGAAAGGGAATTCACAAGACTCACACAGACTGAGAAAAGGATTCCCCACACTGATAAGTCCAAGTAGTCATTAAGTAAGAAGTGACTATATTTTCCAATCAACAAAGCACCAATGAAGAGACTTCGAGATATGACAGTTATGGGCTGTAGCCAATGAGAGGCAGTGATCCCAATAAAGATGCTACTTGACTTAAATCCATCCTATTTTGGGAGCTCTTTGCCACATTATCTTTGTATTTAAGATTCTCTAAGCTATTATTTATTTATTTTTCCTGATCCCTTCCTCTCACTCCCTACCTAGTCACTCCTATACTGTTTCTAGTATCTACAGTTGCCCTCCCTGCTATTAGACCTTCTAACATTAAATTAAGTACAAAGAAATTAAGAGTCCTAATTGCATAGAAAAATTTACTGTTAACATTTTCTTGTCAAAACTCTAGGAGTTTTCTATGCAGTACATAGATACTAAACTATATAATTTTTTAAAAAGGAAATCTTATGATAATGACAGTATTCTAATATACCTGTTTTACTAAACAGCACTTTGTAAACAACTCAAAGTGCCAGTAAGTATATAACTACATCATAAAAAAGAAAAGATTCTCTGAACTCCCACTAATGATGAGTGAGTAAGTGGCATTTTAGAATGTGGTGGCCAAAAAACTACCCAGAAATCATATTTCCCTCCCCCAGCCTGCCCACTTTCAAGGGGGTGAAATAAAAAATCTAGACACAAGTTATTTTCCAGATTCAGATCTCATCCATAAATGAAAAAGAATTATCAGAAAAAATGAGCATGTGTCTCAAATGGCATCTCCAACTACAGACAGAGGCATATGGCTCTGCTTAATTGTTACAGCTCATCCTTGCATTTGCCAACATTTACTGACAAACTAACATATTTCCTCCTCATAGGTTTCTTAGCAGGTGAGCCCCCGGGTCTGTCTACAGGTCAGCCTCTCTCTGCCCTGAACGACTCCAGCAAAGTCAGATTTCCAGGGATACAAAAGATACCCCCAAGTGACCAGAAACTAGATACATTTCCCATTGTCAAGTTTTGAATTCAGGAAGGATGTTTTTTATTTGACCAGAATGGGCCCATAACAGTTAGAATTTTTGGCATTCAGGTTTGAGTTGGCAGAAATTCATCAAGCATTTGTTAACAACCATCATATATAAGTTTTTGTGTTGCAAACTGTAAGAGATGTGTATGCATCCCATATGCAGATGAGAGGCACGTAGGAAATGTTAGAATCAAGGGAAAGTAAAAAGGAGGGAAGAAGAAAAAAGTCACAACTTCAGCCTGTCTTCTGCAAACTTATAGTGCAATATGGTGGTTTCAATGCAGTGCATGGGGTCCAATATTACTCCCTCACTCCAACAATATTTGTTTAGTCTGAAGGCATTTTTGGTTGTCTTCACTGGTAACAGTAGGGAGCTACTGGCATCTTGCAAGTAGGAAACATCCCACAATACTCAGGCTAGCATCTCATAGCAAAGAATGATGTGGCCCCAAATATCAATAGTGCTGAAGTTGAGAACACTTGGTCTAACACAAAAGACACACATATGCAATGACCCTGACTGGCTGATTTCATTCAGATAGGCTAACTCTGCCTTCCTCCATGCAAGGGAAGAGACCAGGCTTTCAAACCATCTGTTTTAATTTAAATCTCAGCTTTGTCACTTATGGAGTACCTCAGTTTCCTCATTTATAAAATAGAAATAATATTAACACCTGTATTGCAGGGCTGTGCAAGTATAACTCAAGAGAATATAGGTCCAGGGGTTACAGTGGGCCTGACACAGTAAAGATTCCACATGTGCCACCTAGAATAATAATATCCAATTGTCTGGATACTATTTTTTATGTGCTGATGCCATTCTCCTTTCTGTCTTAGAAACTTTGTAAACATGGTCTCTCTGGGATACCCTGTTCAACTCCCTACTTCTCCAACTCCCTTACCCCAACACAAATGCATTTACTTAGTTAACTCTCCTTAGAGCTCAATGGAAAGGTCAGTTCTTGGAGTATGCCTCCTCTCTTCTGTCTTTGGTCATTCTCTCTGCACCGACATAGCTCCTCATACTTAGTTATCTGCATCTGTGTCCCCAGGCATGGTGTAAGCTTGGTCAGGGTCAGAGCCATCGCTTGTCTCCTCACAGCCATATGGTCAACCCCTGGTGCAGGTGCTCCACAGCCATTGGCTGAATGCCTGAATGACTAGGTGAATGAAGTGACATGAATGTCATAGGTAAGTACTCAGTGCCAAGGACAAGGATGGGAGATCCAATCCTTTCTGAAGGATCAGGAATGCTTCCTAAATTATGAGTTGAAAGGTAGGGCTTTAACAGATGCTGATGAAGGCTAGCAGATGGCATGGTAGTTAGGTGTTGGACTTCGTCATGGCCTACTGTGGTTTGAGTCCCAGGCCCAGTGTCATGCTTTCTCAACTTCATTTTCTCTCTCTCTCTCTTTCTCTCTCTCTGGTCAAATTAAAAAATGGTAATAATAAATAAAATAAAATTACTCTGAAAAAAAAATCTGATGCTGATGAAGGGGAGGCATTTTCCTCATGTGGGGGTCTGAGGCATTAAAATAAAAAAAAACCTTTATATTTTAGAATAGTTGAAGATTTTTAAAGAAAATTTATGAATACTGAGTGTATCCAGTTATAGCACACCCTATTCTTTTCTATTTTTATTCCCTTATTAATTAACATCTTTCATTGATACAGAGTCAATACATTATTCTTAACTGAAGTCTAGTCTTCACTCAGATTTAACTTTTTTTTTTCAAAGGTTTTTGTTTTAGGGAGTGTGTACTTGCCAGAGAGTGAGTGAGTGAGTGAGTGAGAGAGAGAGAGAAAAAGTAAGAAATCACTATTCAGGAGGTATGGCCATAACACAATCTCTTCTCTTCTATTCTCTTCCCAGGATTTTGGGTATGCACATACATGTGCCCAGCATGAGTTTCAAGCCACTAGGTCTGAGACTCAAACTGTGGTCAGTCGTGTTGGAGTCCAGCAACATAGCAGCTACATCATTTGCTGGTCCCTTCTTTAACTTTTTCCCAATGTCCTTTTCTGTGTCAAGATCCCATCAAGGATAACATATTACAGTAAATTGTCTTATCTCCTAAATTCCTCTTGGCCATGACAGTTTCTCAACTACTCTTTTTTTTTTTTGGAGAGGTTTTTTGCTATAGGGCGTGTGCGCTCGCCAGACAGAGAGAGACATAGAGACAGAAAGCGAGAAATCACCCCCCCCCAGGGGGGATGGTCATGCCGCAATCCCTTCTCCTCCATTCTCCTCTTGGAATCTTGGGCACGCACACACATGTGCCCGGCGTGAGTTTGAAGCCACCGGGTCCGGGACGCGAACCCCAGTCGACTACGTGGGAGTCCAGTGACATAGCCATTATGCTAACTGCTGGTTCCCTCAACTATTCTTTACTTTTTACTGACCATGACTGTTTGGGGAGTATTGGTCAGGTATTTTGTAGAATGTCTCTTTTTTGGTATTTGTTTTATGCCTTTCCTATAGTATGACTGAGTTTTTGTGTTTTTGAAGGAAGATCATGGAAATTAAGTTATATCTTCATCACATCATATCAAGGGCTCATGCTATTAACATGACTCATCACTGTTGATGTTGACCTTTGTCACATGGCCAGGTAGTGCTTGTCAGGTTCCCCCTGCCCCCGTTTCTACAGAGCATTCTTTGCAAGGAGGTCAATATGTATAGTTGCATCTAATGAGCCAGAACTTGTGCTTCAATTTTTTATTCCTTAAAATTTCAATATCTGCCAGAATTATTTAAAATTCTTCTGCATGTGATATTTGTTTCTTATCCCCCTTTATTCATTTAATCACTTTTTATATCACTAGGGACTCATGGATATTTACTTTATGCTCTTTATTATAATCCAACACTATGTTAATTAGTTAGTTGTTCAAAATGTTCTAGTTTCTGCCACTGTGAGCTCTTTCAGTAGGCTTCTGTGTTCCTTTGACACATTCCAATGACTGTGGGCTGTTTTGATGTTCGGTTTTAGCATTTTCTTTTTTTTTTTACTGGACCTATAAGCTGCTGAAATCTCATGTTATTGGGTCATCAGAAAAGTCATGATACATTTTTGCACAGAAAAACATAAAAACAAATGGCATGACTTTTTCCTACAACCCAATATATACTAGAGGCCTTCAGAAAGTTCATGGAAGAATGAAATTAAAGTATAAAATTATTTTGGTTCAAACAAATCGTGAAATCCATGCAGTTATTTCATTATAAATATTTTCATGAACTTTTTGAAGGACCCCACCACCCTCCACATATTGTCTTTTCTACCTTCATCTTAGA